GCGGGTCTGGCCTAGGGAATTTTAGTGGGGTTTTTAAGGGTAATTTTAAGGGTAATTTTAATGATTGGCCTTTTCGAATATTTTCTTTTAATTTGGTTTTAATATGGATATTTATTGTACTGTGGTTTTATAAGGCTGTTAGCCGCCCTGAGTCCGGTGAGGAGAAGGGCGGGGTACAAATTAAATTATAAATAAATAAAAAAATAAAATGCTGGCTCAGGAATTCTGGGAGTTGAAGTCCACGAGTCATAAAGCGGCCTAGGCCTAGGCCAGAGGTAGGCAACCTTGGCTCTTTTATGACTCGTGGACTTCAACTCCCAGAATTCCTGAGCCGGCCATGCTGAGGGGAAAGGGAGAGATTTCCAAGGTGAGCCATGCTGGCTCAGGAATTCTGGGAGTCAGAAAAGAGCCAAGGTTCCCCATCCCTGGTATAAGCTATTCCAAGTAAAACTTCCTTTTGCAATTGACTGTTGGGGATTTTCTCAGTGCCAATGCTGTTCAAGTGGTGCTCCAGATGCTATAAATTATTATTATGATTATGATTATTATGAACCAATTTCAGCCTACCTCCACTTAAAGAAATTATCTTTTCCTCTATATTGCCTAAAACTCCTGTCCGGTTTGCACGAAAGGAATAACTGCCTTTTTATTGCTATTTTTCTAGATTGTTTCAGCTGTTTTAATGCTCCTGGCGCTTACCGCCAGTAATTTAATTTTCCAGACACTTCCTTGTGTTGAAACATTCACATGCACCTGTTTCAAAAATAAATTATCCATTCCTTCCTTTTTCTTATTTATTGGAGAAAGCTACCTCTGGAGAAGGGATCAGAGAGAGGCGCTCAGAAAATACCATAAAAGGAAAAAGCATTTTTGCATTCTCTCTCAGAGGGAATATGTAGTACACTACATACTGTAGTGTAGTGTAGTGTAGTGTAGTGTAGTGTAGTGTAGTGTAGTATAGTATAGTATAGTATAGTATAGTATAGTATAGTAATAATAATAATAATGATAAAGTTGGAAGGGACCTTGGAGGTCATCTAGTCCAACCCCCTGCTCAGGCAGGAAACCCTATACCATTTCAGACAAATGGCTATCCAGTTTCTTCTTAAAAACTTCCAGTGTTGGTGCATTCACCGCTTCTGGAGGCAGGTTGTTCCACTGGTTAATTGTTCTCACTGTCAGGAAGTTTCTCCTTAGTTCCAGGTTGCTTCTCTCCTTGATGAGTTTCCATCCATTGCTCCTTGTCCTGCCTTCAGGCGCTTTGGAAAATAGCTTGACTCCCTCTTCTTTGTAGCGTAGCGTAGCGCAGCGCAGCGCAGCACAGCACAGCACAGCACAGGGGTTTTCAAACTTGGCCCTTTTATGACTTGTGGACTTCAACTCCCAGAATTCCTCAGCTAGCGTGCCTGGCTGAGGAATTCTGGGAGTTGAAGTCCACAAGTCATAAAAGGGCCAAGACCCTTGGTCTACTATAGTATATTATAATTGGGTATGTCTAGTTTAATGAAGAGAAGGACGAGGGGGGACATGATAGCAATATTCCAATATCTCAGGGGTTGCCCCAAAGAAGAGGGAGTCAACCTATCTTCCAAGGCGCCTGAAGGCAGGACAAGAAGCAACAGATGGAAACTGATCAAGGAGAGAAGCAACCTAGAACTAAGGAGAAACGTCCTGACAGTGAGAACAATTAACCAGTGGAACAACCTGCCTCCAGAAGTGGTTAATGCTCCAACACTGGAGGTTTTTAAGAAGAGACTGGACAGCCGTTTGTCTGAAATGGTATAGGGTTTCCTGCCTGAGCAGGGGGTTGGACTAGATGACCTCCAAGGTCCCTTCCAACTTTATTATTATTATATACTGTATATTATATACATGTGTGTATGTATGTGTATGTACAGGTAGTCCTCAACCTACGACCACAGTTGAGCCCAGTATGATACGCCAGTATCATCTAATTCTAACTCTAAATGTAACACACATTAAGGGGAAATTAGCTGCGTCTTCATATATGGTCAAAGCAAGAACATCCGATGTTAGCAGCGTTGACAATAGGTTTGTAAAACTGTTAACCCCAATTGCAAACACGAGCAACGTTGCAAATAACAGAAATTGAGAAAAACTCAAAAAACAAAAAAAAAAATAAAAAGATGCCCTAATTCCCTGGGGTGTGATGGAATTGTTCTTTTTTTTGCGGCTCGGAAATGCACCGGAGGGCTTTTAAATTTGCATTTTAAACTTGCAGATTCCTCTCGGCTGATGTGATGATGCAAACAGATGAGTAATCGTTAGGAGATTTTTTTTAAAAAAATTAAAGACACCCCAGCCAGCCACAATTGGGGTTTGCAGTGTTGGTGGGTTTTGTTGGGGGGGGGAGGAAGGCAGGGGGTATCTCAGGGGATATTTTTCTAAGTTATCCATGGTGCCCTTTTTAAAATTTGATGTGCTTTTTTTTTTGTTCTGCTCTCGACCCACAGAAAATGACGTGGCGATCGAATAAAAACGACATCAACATTTGTCACATGAAGGGAAAACACGAAGTAAGTACAATAATTTCCATTCAGATTTACATTTCCTCTTGAGAACCATAAATAGACAAGGAGGCAACTCCCCCAAAAAGCTGCAGGGAAATCTAGCCGGGATTGAACTAACCACAATTAGCTTGTGGAGATTAGCAGCGTCGGGTTTTTGACAAACCTGGTTAGGCTAACACAGCGTTTTTGAACCACAGAAGTGGGTCAGGAAAGGGGTAAAACCCTGAAACTGCAGCTGAGGGATGCCCTTTTCCTTGGCGAGGTGTTCAAGTGGTCCTCAACTTACAACAGATCACTTAGCGTCCATTCAAAGTAATGATGGACACCCTAAAATACTTAACAACTAGGATTTTAGTGTTGTGACAGCTGCTTCTTACAAGAGTCACATGATCAAATTTTGGATGATGGGCAACAGGCCCGCATTTACCGCCATTTGCGTAGCCACCAAACCATAATTTGTGCTTTTTGCCAGAAACTGGTGTTTACTTTGGTTTCTGATCAAAAAAAAAAAAATCCCATTAAGAACAATGGTTTCGCTTAACGACCATGGTATTGTTTTACCACTTTTGCAACTGCGATGTTCTCTTTTTACGACCACCGCAAAACATTATAAAAATAAGGTGGGTCACATAGGATGTCTCAAATAACGACCGTCATGACACCCGATGGAAATTCCGAGTTCCCTTACGGTCGTAAGTCCAGGATTACTTTGTATTTGTTATTTTAATTTTTTTTTTTTATTTGGTTCTCCGGATTCCAGACTCCTGCAACTCAGATCTTGTTTTCAAGAAAGCTGGCCTGTGCAGCTGGAATCAATGATTCATTTCTG